CTCTTCAGAATTCAATTTAGACTTCTCATAGCTGTTGATGTACTTCTGCAACCATTTAAAAATTATCTTCAGCAAAATTTTACTTGTAAAATTAATGATACTGTTTGATGATTTCCCCATTCCATTGAATCACCTGGCTTTGGAATGGACACAAATATGGATCTCTTCCAATCAGATGGCCAGTGGCTGCCTTCCAAATTTTTGGGCATGGATGAGTGAATTCTCCCAGTGTTACATCAATTTGTACGAAGATTTCAATGTGTATTCTGTGAATTCAAGGAGCCTTGTGTTTTGCTAATGCCTTCATTGCAGCTTAGACTTCTTTCTTCAGTATCATCAGTTCTTGGTCATATGCTACCTCTTGAAGTGATTGAACATTGGCCAATTCTTTCTAGTACAGTGACTGTATATTTCTGAAATCTTCTTTTGGTGCTTCATGCGTCATTCAATATTTTGCTCAAAGAATCCTTCAATATTGCAACCCAAGGCTTGAACTTTGTCTTCAGTTCTTTCAGCATGAGAAATGCATTACATCATCTGGAAAGTGATTACATTGCATTATATTAGAGTACATTATGAAAATTCATCTATTTGACTCAGGCCAAGTGATTTAATAATGTATGGTGCCATAGGCTAAGCACTCAACCAAAAACAAGGTCAGTGATTCAAACTCACCAGTCGCTCCTTGAAAATTCTATACAGAGTTGCTATGTGTCAGAACCCACTTGATGGCACTCAACAACAACAACAACTATTACAGCCACCACTCATCTGTTACTTGATCATATGGTGGTGGTGTGCTCCATAGCATGTTCTTCCCTTTTCATTTTCTAACTCCAGGTCTTTGCACATTTCATTATAATTCTTGATTTTGTCTTCTCAAACTGCCCTCTGAAATTTTCTGTTCAGCTCTTTTATTTCATCATTTATTTCATTTGCTTTAGCTTCTTTATGCTCATGAACAAGTTTCAGAGTCACTTCTGACATCAGTTTTTGTCTTTTCATCCTTTCCTGTATTTTAAATGACCTTTGGCTTTCTTCATGTACGATGCCTTTTATGTCATCCCACAGCTCTTCAGACCTTCAGTCATTAGTGTCTAATGCATCCAATTTGTTTTTCAGATGATTTCTAAATTCAGGTGAAATCTGTTCAAGGTTACATTTTGGCTTTCATGGATTTGTTTTAATTTTCTTCAGCTTCAGCCTGAACATGCACATTTGAAATTGATGGTCTGTTCCAGAGTCTGCCCTTGGCCTTGGTAAGAGCTTTTCTACCATCTCTTCACACAGATGTAGTCAATTTGACTTCTCTGCATTCCATCTGGTGAGGTCCATGTGTATAGTCATCTTTTATGTTGTTTGAAAGTACCTGCGATGAAGAAGTCATTGGTCTTGCAAAATTCTATCATTTGATCTCCAGTATCATTTCTTTCACCATGGCCACATTTTCCAAATACTGATCCTTGTTCTTATTTCTAACCTTTGCATTCCAGTTGCCAGTGATTATCAATGCATTTTGATTGCATGTTTGATCGATTTCAGACTGAAGAAGTTGGTAGAATTCTTCAGTTTCATCATCACTGGCTTTAGTGATTGGTCCATAAATTTGAACAATTGTGGTATTAACTGGTCTTCCTTGTTACATGCCATTAAGTCAGTTCTGATTCATAGTAACCCTGCATAGGGTTTCCAAGCTGCTGCTGGTGAGTTTGAACCACA